CTACAAACTTACTCAGAGATAAGTTTTGTCGGATCCGATAGAACCAATTCAGCATAATTATCTAACCTATCAAATTCCATGTAATCACTGTGAGTCAGGTCAAGTATATAGGTGAAACTAGGTGGACGTGGGTCAGTCAGATCAGTGGAACATAGGAATTTAGCTAGATGTAGAACGATAGACCGAAATAGATCAATAATCTGAGAAAACACTTGGATATTGCACTGCATGCACACAATAGGGTAGATGGGATGAACCCACTGTAATTAAGTCCAATGTAATTAGGTGAGAGATTGATTACTGAATCTTTGTTCATCGAATCAACAGCCACCCAACACACATGTAGTAGAAATGACGCAACACCCTTGTATACTAGAAATATGGGAAATTTTACTTCACTTCCTTGTTTATGTAGTTGCACTGACTAACCAGTTTTCTACCTCTAACATTCAGATATTTGACTAAACCTGCCTTCACTGACTGACTGATTGGAAGAGATGACGTGAGGTGTAGATACCTGTTAGAATGTGTCGGTTTCCTATAGACAGTAGTGTCCGAACCATCGTCTATCCTTCGTTACATCCTCCAACCCATCATAGGTACTTCAACACCCAACACATGTAACAGGAATGATGCAACACACTTGTATACCAGAGATATGCAAAATTTTGTTTCGCATTGGTCTGCTAGCTAATCTGTTTCATTGTCTAAGCAAAAATGATGTGCCAACACTTTCTTCTTCTTCATCAAATCCTAAAGTATTGAAACTTCGCTTAGTATTGAATAGAAGTGGAATGTGTCAAATTTCCTGAATCAAATAATCATTAACTCCTATGGTAATCGTCCAGATAATGATTATCTAGGTAAGGTGGTTTAGTGGGTTGGGGTGGGTTGGGTGAATGTGGACTGAGCAGACGTTCGCTCTTTTCAGAGCTTCTGATAGTCTCTCAATAAATGTTTCAATGAGAATAAAGATCTTCGTGGTGGAAATGCAATTCGGCTTGGTGTTCCTAGTGTGTTTTTAACAGTAAATATCAGTGCCAAGAGAACTTCTCCACACACAGACGCTCACGTCACTGACTGACTGGTGAAATCAATGTGGAATCTCGCACAGAAATGCGTCGGCTCAAGTTGTCACACACACACACACACATACACTAGTATACAAAGAACAGGTGGATAAAAAGAGGATTGATATCAAGGAAGAGAAAGTTGTGTGACAACATAAATGACGATTCATGTGAATATTCAAGCTTTCGAAGATGTCGAGGAGTGAATAAGTTGGCGACATAGTGAGCGAGAGTGGTCATCCACTGATTCCTTTTGTCTCATGGACACCAACCAGGCAGTCTACAATATCCCACATTCCTCAGACGAATAGTAAAGACTTCATATACTGGTGCGACGACTTGGTCTCCTTACTCTCCAACCGAATCCAAATTCCCCATGATACATCGAGGTAGGCAGTGACTCGGCATGTGAAGTAGATTTGTAGGTCATTGCAGTCAACCAAGCTTCACAACCTCATCAGTTAACTTGACTGGTACCCTTCGCCTAATTTCAACATTGCTCACACAACGATTCTATCAAACATGCAAGTAATTCTACAAAGATACGTGATCAATACCCTATCACCGCTTCATGTCTTCCATTATCAGTGGCCCTGTAACAGGACAGAATGAAATGCATCACAGTATATTCATCCTTTGTTAGGTAGATGAATATCTCGCCAACTGGCTTCACAGGTGACACAAGTTGACAAATGCCAACTTCAACGTCAGGAACAGATAACAAGTTCCTTATTTTTCTGTCAAGAACTTTTGAGGCAGCTGTATAGAGTACACACTTATTTACACTGTTCGTAAGGAAACGTTTCATCATCATCATCATCATCATGAATATCAACATAGGACTGAGCATTACAGCGTAACCCTCAGGGTTGTCACAACTCATATCAATACATCAAGTAAAAAGACAGTCAATTGGAAGATGAAAACAACAAAATTCACTCAAAACAAGTATTAAGTACAAAATGAGAGAAAGAAGGAATGAGATATTGGTGAGATTCAGTATAGCGTCGATAATATGAGGATAATGTGTGCATACACACCTGCGTCACTGACATACACTCTGACCCATATCACATACAGTCAATCTACAACCACTGCTTCCTCCTGTCTCACTAACCCCCAACCCATGATCTCTATCTCCACATATGGCTCATACCAACAGTAAAACACTACACACATTGATCCCATGTTTAGTCTGACCACTCGAGTCTTTTTCAGTCTAAACCAACCTCAGTCAACATTGTGTGATGAAGTAGACGGCCAACACGCATACGTAACACATCTCCCAACCATCTCAGTCCATCAACGACCACAACCTCTACTCCCTCCCTGAAACTCTACGCTTCACGTCTGCGTTACTCACCTGGTGGCACCAACGAATACAACCTAAACTATGAAGGCAACGATGCTCAAACACTTGAAGACAGCCTTCTCATGTCTTCCACCTTCAATGACCATGTTCCACATCCACACAGTAGGACAGAGTGGATTGCTGTGCACTACACATGACTCTCATTACACAATCTGATATCACGCAGGCGCCACAGGTGGTGTAAGTTGGCAAAACTCAGTCAACCGAGCCTTTTGCAATCGTACAGAGATTTCATCGACCACTGACCATCGCACCACGGTTGATCCTACTTCACAGGTAAGTGAAGTGGTTGACACACTCAATCACCACACTCACTCTCTATAGTTAGCTGAGGGACTGCTGAATACGAATCATGGAGCAACAATTTGTATTTGGTGGTTAGAAACGGATCCCAAACATTCTGAAATTGATAGTCAAACTGTTTTGAATACTCTGCATGTTGTCAGCGTCTTCACCTAACACGTCTATATCATGAAGATGTATCTCATCGATTTCGGGCGTTGAACTTAAAACAACGGGTCACCAATTCAGGTACTGAGCTACACTGATTGATGTTCGGGCAGGTAAGTAGTATACCATTAGCTTTCAAAAAAACATGACTAACTCATTGTCTAGTGTGTATGAATGTCTACAAATGATTGTTGAGTTGATTTCAACCATTCAACTACATCATCGGTTTACATGATATCACCTAACATTCATTTAAATTGTATCATATAGTTCATTGAACCACTAGACACCAAAATCAGTTCGAATCACAATTACTTATCTTGATTCAAACTACAATTAATAAATCAGAAAGTTAATGATCGCAAATATCAACATATGATCAAAGATTACTGAACAATGGTTCAAGTTGCTACACATTGAAAAAAAAAGATTAAATGTGACGAAAGACAAATAGGTCAAAACCAGTTTACAAAAATGAAGGAGGAATGAGAAACTACTGGATTCAATAGAGTAAATAACATGATATGAATCTGTGTCACATCTTGATCTGATCAACCTGAAACCTCTTTCAACCTAATCGAGGTAAGTAATGGCTCAGTATGTACAGTACACATCGAACCTATCTCAGTCAACTAAGGTTTACAATCTCTTCATCTATGGCCTACATTATCTAACCAATCCCTTTTGAAAATAACATACATGATTATGTTATTTATTATCTTGCTGGTAGTGAAAAGTAATGGGATCCAGTTTGATGCATATTTCGTCCTATTTGTGACCTGCCTCAAAGTGAATGATGTTATCTCTACTGAGCTATTGTTTTAAATATTGCTGCAGAATAATCCAACTCTATTTCTACTTGGAGCAACATCATAACTTCATGAATACTGTCTCTCAATATATATATATATATATATATATATATATATTTCAAGTTGTTATTCATCGAAGACTGACATCAGTTGGAGGAACAAAGGAAACCTGGGAGCACTGGACAGCTGTTTCGTCAGACTAGTATGGGACTCCTGAGCAATGCGTACCCACGACCCCACCAGCAGGGATCGAACCCGCGACCTTCAGGTTCCGCGACCAGCGCGTTACCATTGAGCCACTGGGTCAGAATCCAATGCTCCATATTTCCAACTTCTGTTAGCTCACGATATAGCGCGAACCGCCACCCAATGTCATCGTTGAGTATCTGTCCTCACGGCCATCAGGCTTTGACTCCACAGGTCACGACTTGTCATTGGAACTTCGGGAATACTTCTCGAAGCTAATCACCAATGAGCATCAGTTCAATTAATTTTTGAGGGGTTGTGGAGATTTGGAAATATTTCAAGTTGTTATTCATCCAACTGATGTCAGTCTTCGATGAATAACAACTGGAAATATTTCCAAATCTCCACAACCCCCTCAAAAAAAAAATATATATATATATATATGCAAAACCAGGATCGGAAAAGCAAGACTGGATTCCATTTATCTGAAATCAATATGGAGATCTACTGCACTACACTCAGCACAAACAACAACATCCGGATTTTCAACACCAATGCAAGTCCAGTCAGTGCTGTTATGTAATGGTTGAGAAACTTGGCGCATCGCGAAAAGCATTCCCAACAAACTACAGACATTCATCAACACCTACCATCTACACTCACTCGATACTGAAGATCAAATGGGAGGGCCAGAATAATGAGAATAAGCAACAAGGAAGTCACTCTGGGAACGAACCAACCAACAACCTATCACCCAACAAATATGCAGTTTAAGAGAGTGGGGGTGGATTGAATTGGGCATACACTGAGAAGGCCAATTGGGGACATCACTCACCAGGCCATCCATTGGAATCCAAAGGGGAAACGATGAGTTGGACGTCCGAGGTGAGGGTGAGGATGAGGGTGATATGGAGGAGATGATGTGAAGAAGAAATGAAAGCTTGTGACCAATCGTGGTGTCAGGTTGAAAAGATTGCAGAGAAGAGAGTGTAATGGAGGTGTGCTACTGAATCCCTATATTCCACTAGAAACCCAAGGGAAAAATAATAGTAATAATAATGATAATAAAGTAAGATATATAAAAGAGATAGAGAATGAATACATGCTTACTTTGACAGAATACTTCACGATTATGATCACATGCTGTTCCACGATCAAGTAGACGTTGACAATCAGTACATTTAAAGCATAATCGATGAAAAACTTTACCAACTGCATCAACACGTTCATTTGCATACACAATATCTGGACAATTTGCACAACGATTAGATGATCCATAACCTCCACTAGACCATCGTGTTCTAATATTTCGTGGGATATAATTCCCAGTATAATCCCAATTAGGTGAATTTTCTTGAGAAGGATAATTATGATTATGATTATACTGTTGCTGCTGCTGATGATGATTCTGAGAGTAACTAGAAGTGAAATAAACACTTTACTCTAACTGGATAAACATACCTCATTGGAATGTGTGAATTTGTACAATCATTCGATTTAGTAAAGTCTCTGTGAAAGGAAATTAAAATAAAATATTAACTATTGGATAATACGCTAACCTTAAATGAAAATACCACCAAGTGGATTATTATGCAGCAATATTTAAAACAATAGCTCAGTAGGGATAACATCATTCACTTTGAGGCAGGTCCAAAATAGGACGAAATATGCATCAAACTGGATCCCATTACTTTTCACTACCAGCAAGATAATAAATAACATAATCATGTATGTTATTTTCAAAGGGATTGGTTAGATAATGTAGGCCATAGATGAAGAGATTGTAAACCTTAGTTGACTGAGATAGGTTCGATATGTACTGTACATACTGAGCCATTGCTTACCTCGATTAGGTTGGAAGAGGTTTCAGGTTGATCAGATCAAGATGTGACACCAGTCCACAAAGTCGCTGATTGTTGGTTAGAGTCATGTTGGAAGATGCAGACTACCTACCTAGTTGAGGTCACCAAAATGATAACAACTAGTGATTGAGGAATCTTGATGACATAGGTGAAAATCAATCACAATAATGCATCTTATAAAGCTTGAATATCTGACTGACTGGCAAAATCAACGTAGAATCTCACAAAGGAGAGTGTATCACTTCAACTAGTCACACTTTACAGAAGTATACAAAGAACAGATGGATAGAAAAGGAGTGATATTAGTGTGAGAGAATTAATAATCTGGAGATAACAGTTAGCGTGAATATTTACAAGATTTCAAGGAGTGAAAATATCTGCACCATTATGACAGTTGTCAAATGTTACCCAATGCTACCCACCACTACTCACGATCGACGTAAAAACGCTTAGTCAACTTATGTTTGAGTTACTTTCGCTCTTCGTTGTGGTTAGAGCCAGCTGGAGTCAGTCTTCTCATAAGAACCAGTTCAGATGACGTTAGGGAAATGTACTGACGTTTGTTAACCTTCGAGTGTAGGTTAACAATTACAACAGAATTTATGTCACACCGGGTCTCCACCTGTTCTTTGTGTACTAGTGTGAAATGTGCTAACTTGAGCCGATTCACCTGTGTCCAAGGTTCTACGTTGATTTTGTCAGTCAGATCCCCAAAAAAGCAACTAGTTTTGAAAGGATAATTATATCACAGGTTTTCTATTCACTAAGTTTCGTAATTGGAGGACTAAAGGAAACCTGGGAGCACTGGACAGCTGTCTTGTCAAACTAGTATGGGGTTCCTCAGCAGTGCGCGCCTGCGGAACCTGGAGGTCACGGGTTTAATCTCTGGCGGGGTCGTAGGTGCGCATTGCTGAGGAGTCCCAAACTAGGACGAAACAGCTGTCCACTGCTCCCAGGTTGTCTTTGATCCTCCAACTGATGTCAGTCTACGATGAATAACAACTTGAAATATTTCCAAATCCCCACAACTCCCTCAAAATTCGAAGACGACGGTATCTAGGTGAACGAAATCCATGAATCCCCTGGTTATAAGGTGTAAATGCAGACACTGTGATCAAAATCATTAGATGGTTAAGAATCAACGCCTAGTTGGATAACTCAGAATTGATCAAATTAGTAGGAACCTAATTGTCATTATTATGATTATCTTCAGTAATGATGGGCAGTGGCTAGCAGTGGAATCCAGGATGAGCATTTCGTCCTATTTGGGATTCGGTCGAATCAACGACGGTATAATACAAGCAATAACACTATATCTTCAGTAATGCTTACTTTTTTATATTTCTGAATATACTTCTACATTTTAACCCGATTCTCTCCTCGAAAACCTACAGAAATGTGAACAAACATTTGAACCAACTCACCTTTTAAAAAGTTGAGTGTTTTCGTACAAGTTTTGTTTGAATAGATGGCTAAAAGATGACAGAGGTTGTAAGCAGTATGCAGTTTATGAAGATTTTCCTTTAAAGGTAGTATTCATTAAGGGACTGGCCATTGAAAGACTAGGTTTCTGCAGGTTCCAAGAACAAAAAACAGCTGGTTTTGAGTAGATCTCCAACTGATTTCAACCTGTGATGAATACTACTTCAATTGTTTTTTTCCCCTTTGGGTTCCTAGTGGAATATAGGGATTCAGTAGCACACCTCCATTACACTCTCTTCTCTGCAATCTTTTCAACCTGGCACCACGATTGGTCACAAGCTTTCATTTCTTCTTCACATCATCTCCTCCATGTCACCCTCACCCTCATCCTCACCTCGGACGTCCAACTCATCGTTTCCCCTCTAGATTCCAATGGAGGGCCCGGTGAGTGATGTCCCCACTCGACCTTCTCAGTGTATGCCCAATTCAATCCATCTCCACTTTCTTAAACTGCATATCTGTTGGGTGATAGGTTGTTGGTTGGTTCGTTCGCAGAGTGACTTCCTTGTTGCTTATTCTCATTATTCTGGCCTTCTCATTTGATCTTCAGTATCGAGTGAGTGTAGATGGTAGGTGTTGATGAATGTCTGTAGTTTGTTGGAAATGCTTTTCGCGATGCGCCAAGTTTCTCAACCATTACATAGCAGCACTGACTTGACTTGCATTGGTGTTGAAAATCGGGATGTTGTTGTTTGTGCTGAGTGTAGTGCAGTAGATCTCCATATTGATTTCAGATAAATGAAAGCCAGTCTTGCTTTTCCGATCCTGGTTTTGCCTATATATATATATATATATATATATATATATATATATATATATATATATATATATATATATATATATATATATATGATGGCAGTCATCTCTCTACCTCAACTTTATCGACTTTAGAAGGCCTTTGACAGCGTCGACAGAGAAGTAATTTGGAAACTGCTTCAATACTAAGGAATACCGCAAACCCTTATCAGTCTCATTCAACAACTATACGAAGACGCCACATGCCAAGTAATCCACAATGGGAAGCTCAGTGATGCTTTTGAAGTGAAGACAGGAGTGAAACAAGGTTGCCTACTATCCTCCATGATATTCCTGATTGTGGTCGACTGGATCATGCAGCAAACAGTGGGGAGCGAGAAGAGGGGGATACGCTGGACTGCAGGAAAGAACCTAGGAGATCTGGATTTCGCCGATGAATTGTGTCTGGTGTCACACAAACTTGAAGATCTACAGGCGAAAACTAACAAGTTGACAGAAGAGGCAGGGCACGGCAGCGAAGGAAGATGGGACTTCAAGTGAATGTAGAGAAGACAGAGGTGATGAAGATACCGCGCCACCAACAACTACAAACTCCAATCACCATCAATGGGAGAAACGTGAAGGATGCAGCCTCTTTCAACTATCTAGGCAGCACTGTTTCAACTACAGGTGGCACAGACCAGGATGTCAAATCCAGCCAGAATCGGAAAAGCAAGACAATCTTTCATTAGCCTGATACCAGTGTGGAGATCTGCACTGCACTCAGCATGTGGAACAACATTCGGATTCTCAAAACCAACGTCAAGCCAGTGCTCCTGTATGGTTCAGAAACTTGACGGGTTACGAAACGCATTTCCAACAAACTACAGACATTCATCAACAACTGCTTACGCTGGCTCGCTACTGAAGATCAGATGGCCAGAAAGAATAAGCAATCAGGAACTCTGGCAGGGCAACGAAGCAACCAAGAATCTATCGCTGAACAAATATGCAGTGGAATATAGTGGAGATGGATTGAATTGGGCATACACTGAGAAGGCCGACTGGGGACATCACGCGTTAGGCTAGTTACTCGAGTGGAACCGAGATAGGAAGCGATGAGTTGGGCGTCCGAGATGAGGGTGAGGATGACATGGAGGGGGTTGTGCGAGGAAGAAATGAGAGCTTGTGGGCAGTCGTGGAACCAGGTTGAAAAGATTGCAGAGAAGAGAGTGGAATGGAGACGTGCTACTGAAGCTGCATATTCCATTAGGAACCCAAAGGACTAATAATGATAATGATGTTACTCCAAGTAGAAATGGAGTTGTAATCAGATTAGAAGATTGCTCTTTACCTCCGGGTGATGAAATGTTATTCTTCAACAATGTCACCATTGTTACAAATCACTTTATCTATGAGTTGTTGAGTAATTTGAAAACAGATTTTATTTTATCTTAGTTCCATAAATTGTTGTTAATAAAGACGACGATGCTTCAAGGCTGTAACCGTTCCCGGATAGGGAGTGAAGACGTGGAAAGCGTTAACAACTCCCGCACTTTGGCATTTATCAACGCGCGTCATGTGGCGACAACTGGTGAGATATCCGACTATCTATCAAAGGATTTATAAACTGAACTAAAGTCCTCTGTGTCCTGTTGTATGCTTGTAAGATATAGCCGTTACAGAGATTCCATGATAGATATCTTCATAGCATTACTCACATTTGTTAGAATCACCATGTGAGCTATATTGAAGTCAGGCAAAATGTACTTGACAAGAACGCAACTCAATTGATCAGGTTCTAAACCGTAGTCTACTGGGATAGCTTGCAAATATACTGGGAATTCCATGACATCACCTAACTTGATGTGAATTGCTAGCAAAAGTTGTATTCGGTTGGAAGAGGGTTGAAGGTGGTTGGATCAAAACATGACACCAGTCCACAAAGTCTTTGAATGATCATTCAAGATGTAGACTGCTTGTTTGCGGTCTCCGATATGACAGGAATCAATGGTTGAGGACTCTTGGTAACATCGCTGAAAATCGGTCACGATAGCATGGATGTATTCACTCTTCAACTTCTTCCAAAGCTGGAAAACTTGTATTAACTTTTATCTTCAGATAGTTTATTCTCTCACATAACTTTCACCACTGTGTTTTTTGTATACTACTGCGGCAGCTTGAAGCGATGCATATATGTGCGACATTCTACATTAACTCTATCCATCTGTCTGTGAACTCATGGAAGTATGTAAATCGTCGATTTGACTGTGTTTGGTCTATAGAGTGAATAAGCTACCAGAAAATATCATAGTTTATCATCAACAGTTGAAGAATATTTTTAACAATGATTTCGGATAGGTATTCATCACAAACTGTCGTCAGTTCGAGGAACATCTACAACCTGTGAGCACTGGACAGCTGTTTTGC